GGTGACGGCTGTGTAGTAGCGAACTTGTACGTCTGTCAGAATTTAGGGCGTTTGGTTGGTTTTTGCTATTTTCTTTGTATTTTAGCCGTATTAGATCTCTGTATACGGTGTAGCCCTTATAGTTTGCGGGGTATGCTCCTTTGCATAGTACACAAGTCGCGGGGGTATCTTTAGGTTTACTGCAATCCTTAGTATCGTGGGGACCTGCACATTCACACAGTTGTATGTCTTCAAACAGCAATGTCTGGTGTGCCCATAAGAGTGGCACCTCAAGCACTGAACAATGTCTTTTTGGTGTCTTGGCGGTTCAACCCTGATTTGTGTGTTTCCAATATATTCTATATTGGAGACATCTTTGTTGTTATTTTGCGATTCCAAATCCACAAAGATTAATGGTAAAGGGTCTTCGGTAAGTCTATGTGTACGTTTATAATATTTCGTACTTTGTGACCTTTGTTTCCCAGTTCACTGATGATATCCGTTGTCGGTGTGGAGTGATGTAAGTTTCTAATCACAATTCTATGTGCTCTGTCTTGTTTTAATTGAGAAGAGTGATGTATTATTTTTTCTTCTTTGAGGTGGCAGATTAATTTCCTGTGGGTGTCTGGTGTATGTGCCTTGATTTGTACTCTATTATCCGGGAAAGTTTCCGTATGGTATGTCTCTGGAGCGACTATTTGCGTTATGTTATCAGTCATCTGTTTGTAGTTTGTAACCCCACAGATGTAAATTGGAGGTGCTTTGGGGTCTTTCGGTTTATCGTCATATATATTGTTTGATTGAGTGGTTTCTTCTATCGAGGGTTCATTATTTGTGTCCGCAAGTACTTGAAACTTATTTGTTGTCACAACTTGTGCGGAGTTGTCCTGGATGTGATGGGTAATTTTTGTCAGTTTTCGTTTATTTGTGACAGTCTGCCAAGGGTGTTGCTTCTCATTTAGGGGTTTCTCCTCTTCTTTGTACATTGACTCGTCGTCACTGGTTACGTCCCAGGAATAATGTGATGTTCTTCTTGTTTGAGTTATGGTTTGAGGGAAATTGTTTTGATTTGCATATTGTTTAATATGACCATAAAACTTGACAAATGATGACTACATTTCTTTTTATTTTCTCTGAAGTTTCCAGTGTCCAGAAAGCCGCNTGGATATGGAGAGAAATTTGATGGTTGTGGAAGTGGGGAATGTTGGGTTTGAGTGGGATATTGGGAGAAGTTGGATAGTTGTGACGTTGAAGAGTATTGTGATTGCATTTCGTATTGAGGAAGTTAATGGGTTGAATGGGGTATGAATATTGTATTGTTTGGTTTGGCCCAGGGCCGTTTCCAGTTGGAAACATTAGAACTTACTTGTTAAAATTAGCTGTATCTTCGCCACTCTGGTTTATTGTTGACTGTTTTAAAATGTACTCAGGACAGTAGTGAACTGCGTTTGCGAACTGTTTATCTAGGAGCATTTTTGTTGCTCTTTAGCCTACAGAGCGAACTGAGGTACGGTTGGATTCAACGTAAGTCAAGTGTATATCCCATTTACGGCGTACACACGATTCACGCAGCGCTGTACAGACACATCCGCACTCTTCAGCGACTCTTAAGAGACTCCACATCGTTTTTTGACTTGAAAAATCTTAATAATATTTTTTTTTGTGTATGTTGTTTAATGATTACTATTATAAGTAATCAGCTAACTTCATGGACTTCTTTTTGAGAAGCCAAAAGTCGCTAATATACTCAACAATTCCCACACATTTTACAGAACCTGAAGGTACATTACCGCGTTCACAAGACCCCGCCACTCATCCCTGTCCTGAGTCAGATCAATCAAATCCCACCTCCTTAAGATCAATTTTAATATTATTCTCGCACCTTCGTATTGGTATCCCCAGTGGTCTGTTTCCTCTTGGCTTACCCAACAATATCCTATATGCATTCCTCTCCTTACGTCTATGTGCTGCATTCCCAGCCCATCTCATCCTCATTCGCTTGATCATTTTAATTATATTTTGACGAGCAGTTCAAGTTATGAAGTTCTTCATTTCATAATGTTCTCTAACCTCCTTTTATTTCATCCCTCTTCAGTCCAAATATTCTGAAACACCCTCAGTGAAGTTACGATACATGACACTCTCAGATTTTAGACCATTAAGCCCCGAGCGGTAAGATTAATGAAGTATTGAAAACTGTCTGGAAGGAAGCTCTCGTGATATAACCGAGGTATTTTCCCAGCAGGAGCCTAGGGAGAACAGCCTAAATTCCAACCGTACACCTCTCGAATAGAAAAGCATTATCGCTACACCAACTTGATCGGTGAATAATGCGAATTCCGAGGCGTCTGTTTCAAATACAAAAAGAATTACACGGTGCACAGAAGACAATATGATCTTACTTACTCGTGCTTACGGAGCTGAGCCCTTCTTGAGAAGCCAAATCTGCAGCTACTCAAGAATTTCCCAGCATTTTATGGAACCCGAAGGTTCATTACCGTGTTCACAAGAGCCCTCCATTGGTCCCTATCCTGAGCCAGATTAGTCCAGTGCATACCATCCCATTCTATATCTCTAAGATCAATTTTATTATTGTCCACCCACCTACGCATTGGTCTTCCCAGTGGTCTCTTTCCTTCTGGCTTTCCCACCAATATCCTATATAGTTTCTCTTCTCCTCCATTCGTGCTACATGCCCTGCCCACCTCATCTTCATTGACTTGATCATTCTAATTATGCTTGGAGAAGAGTATAAGTTATGAAGCTCCTCATTATGCACTTTTCTCCAATCTCCTGTAACTTCATCTCTCTTCGGTACAAATGTTCTCATCACATTATGATCTACAAGTTGAATATGAAACAGTTTTCGACATGCAACATATTGTGGCATGTAGATCCATTGCTAGGGAACGCGTTGATAAACACACGTTTCAATGGAGACCAGCTTGGTACGAAACACGTTTCTGTGTAAACGAACATTCAACAAACAACTGCACGGATGCCGCTATGCTATATAAGCGGCCGTTCAAGTAAGAACCAAGTCAATAAGTCACACAAAATCATGATAATGAAAATGTTCGTAACCTCGGTCAAGGCGAAGCCCGACACAGAAAATATAAGTAAAAAAAGTAAAGCTATCCCTGTAACAGGCCGCGAAGGCCCATTGGGTTGTGAGACGTTGAGGGTGCCACATTATCTAGACAATCGGCTCAAAGATGGCGGTAGTGTTGTCAGCCTTACGAGCCGGCCGCGCTTTACTCATCAGGAAAATTATTTAACTGATTCCTGGTACTCATTTCTGTTAGAGGCTGAGTCGACCCCATGACTTACTACTGCAGACAGTGACTCTGATAAGAAATAGACCCGTCCTCACGTCAGAGAGGGCGCCCCACAATAACAAGACCGAAACTGTCAAACAGTAATACATATCTGGTCATAAGCCACAGATGGAGCTCGACAACAAGACTGACTGACTGACTGACTGACTGACTGGTTGACCGACCGTCAGTCGCAAAGTGACTTCGACTTTGAGGCCGTAGTAGGTTAGACACGGCAGAAGGCACTAAAAGAGAAGACAGTCGTAATTGTTGAAGAAGGTGTTAATCAATCCAATCCAATCCAATCGCCGTTATCATTAGCCACGTAGCCATAAACACGCGACAGTATGCAGCGGAGGCTTGTAAAGTGCCATTTTAGCATCGGTTTAAGCACTTTCCTTAGGTAGAAGAGTTCGGTGCCGACACTGAGCATCACGCAACAGAGATAATAATGCATGGATGTTTATTTCCACGTCCCCACATATTTTCAAGACGCGGTAAAGTAAGCCACGGCCGCTTCCATTTAAAACATTGCCTTCTCTCCGTTCATAATCATCTTTTCATCCAATTTGAATGTATACAAAATTATTCGGTTTAAACAACGGCGTTAAGCAACTCTTGGATAAATGAACATACAAGTCGAATTCATGTCCCTGCGGAAATGTGCAGGAATATTTCATTTTCGAACAGTAAGTGTCTAGCTGGAAGGTTGGACGGTGAATTGGCAACCCAGCACCGAAAAAGAAGGAACTCTTTGGAATAAAAAAAGAACCAAGGATATGAAAATATTCTTTGGTAGGCAACAAGAAGAGACATGAGAACTGAGAACTGAACACTCAGGAATCTGTGTGGGATGGGTTCAGTGAAATCAGCCACAATAAATAAGCGAAGTATATTACAGATTTTCTTGGAGTATAACAAATCAAACAGGACGATATTAGCCGTTAACCAGAAGACGTTTTCAGACTTCCGAAAATATGAGCACAAACAAGGACATCTAGGAAGAACTAATTGCCTAGATTCTTTGAAATATAAATTAATTTCATGATTTGAATATTTGAGAGGCTGTAACGCTGATACTGATCTAGAAAATGGAGATTAACGGCCGTGGGGATTCGTTACGCTGACCATGTGACACCCTCTATCCGTTAAAGTTGGCACTAACTTCGCCGACAAGCGGCGGTCGCTCGATTGGTATAGTTCGCTTGCGGACTACAGGCCACGGAGTTAAGTAGCGCTGATACTATCGCTAAGATTGCCTCAGGTGACTTGATATACATACCAAGTTTCATAAATACCAGTTCAGATAATCAAGTAACACTGAGGGCATTTCTTCAACGGTTTCAGCGGTTACAGACTCTTGACAGTCTAAACGAGGGCAGTCACGCGGTAGGCTATCATTTCTAACAGGAAACCCAAAGGCAAGAGACTTTCCCTTAGCTGCTCTTCTCAAGAATGACATGACTTACGCTTGCTGCGTGTTTGGCTTAATCCCCGACCCTGAAGATGGAGGCAGTACGTTCCTCTAAAAATTAGGCAAATTGCTGCCAGATTAAACCGCGTCACCCCTAAGAAGAGAGTGCTCTTTTTATGAATACGTAGTTTTGTTCATAAAATAACACTCTTAGTCATATAACCTGTTTGAGAGCCTACTTTAATATTCAGATTGAGCCTCTGAAGTCGAGAGGATGTGACATCACGTACCTTAGTTACTGTCTGTCATCATGGTGCAGCATGTAATCGCTCTATGCATTGCCTAGAAGAGAAACACAGGCGGCCATAAATGGCGTTACATATTAGAACTCGTAAGGCTACCTACCCACAAAACAATATTCTCTCTTGGGAATAGAATGAAGAACCTTAGGGATATATAAAGACGTTGAATTTTGGATTAGCTGAGCATCTCTCATTTCTCAAATAGAAATCAGGTCCGCGGTGTTGCTCTCCTGCCGACCAATTTGGAAAACATGAAGATGGAAGGATTTCGTGTGAAAGAAGAGGTGGGAATGATCAGAAACACAGGTCACCACCCTCTTTACTGTTTTGTCCTCACAGAGCACTTGAATGCATCTTGTCACGTGTCTGACAGACTGTACACGTTTCATGCCGTGCATTATCCCCTTGGCCCAGTTGGTCAAGGAATTCCCGGTTCCTCACGGAACAGAAGGTTTGCTACCGTGTTTCCAATGGATTTTCCGGCTAAAGTAGCCTAATGCTTTCCATCTATGCATGCTACATGTCCCGCTTATTTCTTCATTTTTTATTTCATCAAGCGAAGAGCGAGACATATTAAATTCCTGATTATACTGCTCCTCATAGCAGCCTCTCAGAGCCCTGTTCGCAAATCCCCTCAGTCTGTGGTTTCTCTCAGAGCGAGAGCCCAGATGTCAAACTATATGACAGACACTCCTCTTAAGAAACACACTGCTCAGTACACTTCGTTCTGTTAAAATAAATTTAAAGGTATCCCTGTAGCATGCAGTAGAGGCCAGTAGGGTTGTGAGACGTCGAGGCTCCCACATTTTGTAAATAATCGGCACACAGATGGCGGTGAGGTTGTCAGCCTTACGCGCCGGCCGCCCTTTACACCCCAGGAAGATTTATGGTACTCATTTATATTAGAGGCTGAGTCGACTCCAGGGCCATAGTGCGGCTGGAAGAATTAGGTAAACTGAAAAATCCAATAACCTCATCGGGCAATTGACATAAATAAAATGGTTCGAGTTTCCATGATTTCGGGTAACGTATATTTAGAGGTAAAAGGTTAGAAAGGTAAAGATGGCCGAGTACCCATATTTTGAAAGGTTAGCTTCAGCTTGCAGCTGCTATACCCCTGAGAAAAAAGACATCCACTGTTCAGAAGAATGGGTGAGGCTCAACACGGCCTCGACGCGATGGTGAAGAGATCAACTGCTTAAGTCAAGTTCATGAAACCGCTGATATAGGTGTGTGTGGTTATATATATATAGTAATAGGATCATTTTGAGGAGTGAGGCTCAACACGGACTCTACGCGATGGTGATGAGATCAAATGCGCAGGTCAAGTTCATGAAACCACTGATATAGATGCGTGGTTTAATTTGTATGTTGCAATAGGTTCATGCTGAGCTGCTGGTTTCGGCAGAACTCTGCTATGTTCAGGGATGATTAAGTATGAAATCTACTGAAAGTTTTAAATAATTGCAATATATTAATATAATTAGGGCCGCGCCATAGCTCAAGTGGTTAGTCGCTTGTTTCCCATCGCGGCGGCTCGGGTTCGTTTCCGGGTCTAGTCAAGTGGGATTTGTGGTGGACAAAGTGGCGCTGGGGGCAGGTTTTCTCTGAGTACTTCGGTTTCCCCTGCCAATCTTCATTCCACCAATTGCTCCACAATCACCCACACCTATCACCTGGGGCTGGTACAATAGGCCAGAAGTGGCCGCAGTAAAAGGGACTTAGTCCAACCCCACTAGCAATACAAAATTAATTAATATAATTAAGTCTTATATTTCTATAGCAATTTTTCGAAGATGGCGGAATCTTACTGAAGCATGTAAGAATGAAACAAACATTTTATAACTAGACTAAACAACAGATGTAACAGACGTTTTTATTAAATTTACTTTGAGCGGAAGGCAACAATGAAAATGTCATCTTTAAGGAAGAAATTCCACCTTTGCCGTGAATGAAATCCAAATTATTAACCCATAACGTACAATTTTACTGTCAGATATGAATAGTGTTTGTGTATGTAGTCATTGTGGTGGCTACTAATGTACATACATCATAATGCATTATAACATATATTATGAAGGAAATAAAGTAGAAATTAGGAGAAAAGCGAAAGTAGATATATTTGATATGAACAAAAGATGGTGTGTTTACTGTGGTTGAAGTCACTGAGCTTCGGTTCTGCGCAAATTCGTTACAGCGAAAATATTCACAACACACCGTAAAGAGAGTATGAACCTTGATACGAAAATACGCTAAAAGAACATTCGTTTCTGCACATCATGTCAGCATATGATGAAATACAGTATGTACATCTGTACTGATTACGTATAAACATTTCTTGAACTGCGCTGCCGAATGTACAAACTTTACATAAGTATAAGGCAGTGTGATCACAAGCAACTCTCGGCTGTCAGATACAATACACGACCGCATATTCATCTGGAATTCAGATATGAGAAGTTGGAAACTAAGCTGGTCTACTTGGAGTTCCGCGCCGCGCGCCACGCTCTGATTCGCCGTGTGGAGAGAAAACTTCGCCGATTACTTGACTGGAGTAACTACCGACAAGCAGTCATATCCAAAGGCATTAAATCTCACTTTTGTCTCAGTTCTATTATGCCTTGTGGGCACATACAGGACACAGCTGTAATGCAGTGTGCAAATTAACGTTACCATGTAAGGAAGAAAACACCATATCTTAATTAAGAACTGTATAATTTAAATTCTTGTTTGTAGCTAATGAAGCCAAGCGGAAAGCAAAGGACTTGATATGTAGGCTATATAGCGGAAATGATATTTTTGGTCGGAAAAGGTCGAGTTGAAGAGACCACGTGAGAGACCTCTTGAGCAGACCGGAGAATATTATAAAACTGACGTTGGAGAGAAATACGGTGGAATGTGGGGGGACTGGATTCGTTTGGCTCAAACAGAGTCCAGTGGCAAGTTCTAATAAGAAAGATTACGAGCATTCAGTTTCTTAAAAAGGGGGATTTCCCTTATCAGCTGACTAATTACTAATTACACTAATAGGTTGCTCCTACCGGCAACACCACTCAACTAACATCAGGTTAGATTCCTGGCTGAACCACAGGCAGCTTTACTCGTCATGTGGTTTTCTTCAGCCGCTTCAGACTAATACTGACTCAGTAACTTCACAGCGTGAAATGCAACCTCCTTCCGAATCCTTCTATACTCACAATTCACAATCATCTGGCTCATGAACACGAAGATACAAAAAAAAAACTCAGTGGTTTTAGTCCGCAAGCGAACTATGCCGATCGAGCGACCGCTACTTGTCGGCGAAGTCAGTGCTAACTTTAGCGGATAGAGGGTGTCGCGTGGTCAGCGCAACAGATCCCCACGGCCGTTAATCTCGGTTTTCTAGACCGGAGCCGCTATTTCCTTAAAATAGCTCCTCAGTTATCCTCACGAAGCTCACTGAACGCCGTTCCAGACCCCAGAAAATCTGGTAGCGCCGGGAATGGAACCCGGGAGCTCTGGATCTGTAGCCAGGAACTTTGACCACTAGACCACAGGGGCGGACCACGAAGTTACAACATTTAAATTTAAATATATTAGTTTAATGACTTCAGAGTGAGCAGACATCCAAGGGAAGACGATCAACATGAGAAATTATTGCTCATGGCTGTTGGATACACGTTACTCTGTTCTAGGCTCCAGCAGCTGTGGCTGGTTTGCATACAGAGCGTGTCCTAGTTGCGCTCCGCGCCGTGTCTTCACGTGGATGTCACAGCGACGTGTATAAACCGAGATCATTTCACAGGCTCTGTGTCATGGCGTCCGTTCTTCGCAACGTTTTCTCTTAAATAAGCCGAACTACAATAATGAGACAGCACCCCTACTTAATGCTTGTATGTTGCATAACCGTCTACGGTACGTGTCTTCAAGCGAGTACATGTAATACATGTAGAATATTTTGAGGCTTTAACTAGCAAAATCGCTCCGCATTTCATTTATTTTTCCCATCTTGTATTATTATTACTAATAATTACTTTACTTACTTACTTACTTACTTACTTACTCATGGAGCTGAGCCCTGCTGGAGGAGACGAAAATTCTGTAGCTACTCAAGAATTTCCCAGCATTTTGTGGAGCCCGAAGGTTCATTACCGTGTTCACAAGAGCCCTCAACTGGTCCCTATCCTGAGCCAGATCAGTCCAATCCATACCAACCCATCCTCTCTAAGATCCATTTTATTATTGTCCACTCACGTAAGTCTTGGGCTTCCCAGTGGTCTCTTTCCTTCTGGCTTTCCCACCAATATCCTATACGCATTCCTCGTCTCCCCCATTCGTGCTACATGTCCTGCTCACCTCATCCTCCTTGACTTAATCAATTATTATTAATAATACGAAATTTTATTATTTTCAGACTGTTTTCTCGTCAATATTTATATCAATGCATCAATTCTGCAAGACAAAACATTATTGTACGGACGAGACTGAAAAGTCTCTTGCGCAATCTTAGTTTAAAAAGGCATTTCCCTTTCAGCGTTCAATTTCATACAGACGTAATTGTAAAATCGGTAATGTTAAAATGCATATTCTGACATCTTGACCATAACATCAGACAGACGGACCACTAAAATTACTTGCCAAGAGCCGGAGTTGAAAGAAAGAAGTTCATGGACGACTGATTGGTAAAATAAACCTTCCTACACTATGATGTTGTTATGCCCGGGAAAGTTTCTGCTAGTCTAAATAGGTGGGAATGTTATTATATAAAAGAAAGTCCAAAACGCGGATGTAGGAAGCAGACATGTTATACAAAGCAGCCCGTACAAATTGCCTAGCAGACAGCTGTAATCACTACAATTGCAATGGTGGAGCATCGGCTGTTACTCATGATCTAACGCCGTGTACTGTACGCATGCGCATTCTTGCCCATAACTGTCGTGACCACTGCTCAACTATCGCCGAACAAACTGAATAACACGACTGCAAAGGTGAACTTCAGTCTGGACCGTGAATGCTTTTCAAAATTCGCCAATTCTGCAGCAATTCAAGAACTTCCCAGCA